CGGGCTCGGTGCCGGCTCCGGCAAGTAGGTGCCGCTCGGTTCCCTCTGCGTTCACCGGCCTTCCGTACCCTGCGGTGCTGCCGCACTTAGCGGTGGGTCGGCGCCCTGCGCTGTGGTGGGTAGAGTTGAGCTTTCTCCGGCTTGGGCAACCAAACCGCAGCTGTCCTTAGTCCGGTTTGTGTGGCATCCGCGCTCTGTGGCAAAATATTCCTCATCTTTCCCACAAATTCTGCGTTAGATGCTGCGGAATCCTGCCTGCTGCCTGGCGATACTGCTACTTCAAGGCCGGGCTCGTCCACCTCGTTACATCGCCTCAGTCGCGTCAAACTGCTGAGGCCCAAAAATCCTTGCCGTTGATCCCTTGATCAACGATCCTTGCTTTACACGGTAGAATGTAATTCCGGCCGTGTTTATTTTCGATAAATCAATAATGCCAACTAGCTTCATAACTGCGAACCCTGAAGTTTGTTTCCAAGGGTCAGTTTTCTGTCATCTCTTCTTTCCGTGCTATTTGTTGTCGCCTGCCCTTTGGTTCCTTACCCAACGTCTAGATCTACCAAGAATCAAAGAACGGTGTTTGAGTTTACCTGATGAAGCGATGCTGCATTTTACACTGCATGAACTTCCACATGTTGGGAAAAAAAAAAAAAAAAAAAAAAAGGCTTCAAACTTTTTGAAACTTCTGCATGCTGTCCATCCTGTGTGCTGAGCGTAAGCAAAATGTGGCTAGCCCTTCCATCATACACAGTGTTCCAGCATATTATTGTTTATAAAATAATACATACAATCTATAATCTTTATATAGAGTTTTCCACTGCTGTGCTGCTGGTCATAAAATCTATATTCTTATATAGATTTCCACTGCTGTGCTGCTGGTGCTTTTCTACTCTGCATCCAACATGCCAGATACAGCTAATGTGTGACATTAATCTCTCTGAGTTTTCTGCTGCCTGGGTTATTTTCATTCCTATCTTCCATCTTGCCTTTGCCCCCATAGTAAGTACCAGCATGGGACGTGATCTACATTATCTTTAATCTGTATTCCACCCTAACATCTTAACTTCCCTGCTCTCTTCCGAGCTGTATGGACACTGATACTTCACCTATTTGATTGCATATCCTTGATTTTTTGGGTAATTCTTACATTTCATGACTTTCAAGAAATAGCTTTCCTAACATATTAACCAATTTCTTCTACCTTAATTTCCATTCCTGGTGAATTTACCACATATTGTTATCGTCCTCTTCAAGGCAGTTCTTCCTCTAGATGATTCTGAGTCCCATCTCTACTAGTTTGCGCTCTGGGAATCAGATCCCTGGTAATCCTAGTGCTAAGCCTGCGCTCTATTCAAGCCCTTGAGTTCCTTACACTTGTTGACTAGGCATTTTCCTTAGTTCTGTCAGGCTCCAATGAGGGTGGTGATGAGGAAAAAGTAACATTTACTGTAAATCATTTGCATTAAAACCAAGACGAAATTGGAGATATTTACCATGACCAGGTCTTGGATTAGTTAGAGGGCTTCCAAAATTCCACTTTTATGTTTTACCCTAGATTTGTCCATACACTGACCTTCTATACCAGTATTAGAAAATGACTGAAAACCATTGCTAGACATAACCCATAAGATGAAGAAGGAGGCTGCTCGCCATGTTTTATTACTAGCCGTTCATGCCACCAAAACTTCTCATCTTAGTACTCTGAAGATACCTGTTATAAATTTTTGACCCAGGCTATATACCTTCAATAAGAGTTGCACCAGCTGTATTCCAAATGCACTTGATTTTCTCTCTCCATTCATGTTTTGAATTTGTTTAACAGAGGAGATACAATGGTGTCTAAATCCCACGTAATCCATTTGTCCTATAAGCACTAAAGCTGTCAATCATATTGTGTATTACTTTCTTCAGATTACATTTATTGCTGATATTTTTAACCAAAACTTCTTGCATTTTACTTAAATAAACTTTTTGTTTACAGGTGTAGGCTGCTTATAGACTTTTGCAGTAGAACAAAAAACCAAAGATACTTCAACCCTTTTAGTGCAGTGCACTGTCGCACAGATCCAGCCATGCCTGCAGAAGGGAAAAGTGATATGGAGAGGATTGGCCTCTTCAGTGAAATGGGTTATGTTACTATTGGAGATAAATATGTATCACGTTATATGCGTAAGTACATTTAATTTTAATCACTATTTAGTGATAGGGACCACCTGTAGCGGTATCCATCAACTTTCAGAATCACTATTTTCTAATATATTGGGTTTTTTGTTAGAGGAACTGCTTTTTCATGCATATTCTTTGCTCAGGTCTGTATTATTAAGAGAAAGGCTTGATATGTTGAAATGAATGTATTGAAGAAAGGAAAAATCCAGTAAAACATGTATGTGTAATAGACTGATAAAATCTTTTAGTGTATACATTTCTTTTTAATATTAATTATCTGCAAGTTACCAGTATACTCCTGCTTTTGTGGAAAAGCAGTTGTGTTTTTTGTGTGGTCTTTCAGCAGGTTTTCCATTATTGACAATTATGTTGTCATTATTTTTAAATTAGTGTTGCAATTTTTTTTCTGTTCTGATCTGATTCACGTGTGTGAGATTCCCCATCCTGTCTTTTTAAAGAATATTTTCCTTTTCTTGTTGTTTAATGGAAATCCTCATTGAGAAAGGTAATTTTTGTAATTAGTAAGGTTACAGAGGTTAACCCACAGTAGCTGCTTTGAAGTGATAATGCAAAATAATCCTGGCTTCTCAGTACAGACATTTCTGCTGTGTTGTTGTGTCAGTGATGAACATGTCCACCAGAACCCTGGCTGATACACTTCTGCCACGCGGAGCTGCTAGGGATTCAAAACCCAACTGGAGGCACTTAAGCTGTTCTACCTGGTCTGTTATCAGTGGGAGAGAGAGGTGCTCCTCTGAAGTATTACTCGTAGTATATAAATAGCCATCAGCTCTAGCTCTCAATTATAGTCTGGAGTAACCAATCTCTCTCCATTGCCTGTAAAGCAAGTGCAGGGGTTAGAAAACTAAAACTAGGGACTCTGAATACTTTGCGTAGCATTGTCTTTCAGACACAACCATTTCCATGCATGATTTACAAGTTAAACACTCTGTAGTACATTCTTTGAGCCATGCTGCTCCTGACCTTAGTTTTTTAATGTAGGCGAAGTGAAGCACTAACATCAAACAGTTATTTACAGTGCTTACTTTTTTAAAGGCCCTTTTAACGAAGCTGCGAGCAAGAACAGACAGATGTTACCTGGGGGGACCAAAACACTGTCAGCTCTGCAGGCAGGTTATTTTGAGCCTCAGTTTGTGAGGATTTTCGATGGTGAAGCCTACTCAAACCCTGTTCAGCTAAGGAGACGCTATAGATTGGCAGAATCAAAGAAAAATTTGGGCAAAGCTTTCCTTCCCAGTAATGGAGACAAATTGCCGTAAGTGTTGTGAAAATGTTTTAAATTGACCTTTTTTCTTTTCTGTACACTAAAGATGATTTTCACAGATTATTTCTTATAAAAACCTGTAATGAGAGTACAATATTGTTGTTTTATACAATGTAGTGTTAGTCAGTACTGAGCGAAGAATTTTGAGCAGCAACACAGGGAAGGCTGAACACAGGTAGAAATTGGGTCGTGATGCTTGCTCTTAACTACTGTTTTTTCTGTAAATGGTTTTCTTACCCTTTAGCTTTTTATTTTTGATGAAAATGAAGATGGCTATGGGAAATGGGTGTGGACAATTAACAAATTATATTTCATTTTAATTTAGGAGGAAATCTGTTGGAACTTGTCAGATACAGTACCTTCTCCCTCCCATTTCTGACCCTCCCAAAATAGAGATGGCATATATATTGCATAAACAGTAGGAGAAGGGGCCATTATCCAGGTGCAACATTTTCCTCTCACCGAATCCATATCCATTATCTTTTTGCTAGAAAAAATACCAATTATCCTATAGGATGATCAGAGGATGTTAACAGAGCTGAGGAATATATGCAGAATATTAAAATAAATGCATCTTTGCTATTTGCCCAACATTAATTGCATGACAGAATGACACCCATGCAATTGCTGTCATATAACTGTTATTATTCATGTGTAAAAACCAGATAGAGCCTGATTACTCATTCATAACTATACAATCTTGTTTTGTACTTACTGCTGCAATAAGAGACAGGAGGATTCAATCTGTGTACAGGGCCTAGTTCTTAAAGTCTCATGGTTATATGTAGTCATATCTTTCTGCAGCTTTGCTTTTGGGAAGTTTGGAGAGTAACCTCTTGTCTATTTTATGTATATATATTTTAGGATGCAGGGATTAGCTATGTGCCATTGTATGTTACAGGAGCATCTTAGCTTTTAATAGGAATGTAAGACATGGTGTGTAGGCTTTCTGTTGCATATATGTGTGCTATTTCTGATGGGACAGACAATGCGTGAACCCCATGTTCAAAACTTTCCTTCGACTACAACTTGACTTTATAGCAAACAAATTATTTAGAAGGGTTTAACTGTTAGAAACACCTAGGCACAGATTTCAAATCCATGTCAGTCAATGAGAGTCCTGTTCACTTAATTTCTGGCTTCCGAGTCCAACAGTGGGAGTCTTGCTTACAACAAAGACCTGCTAACATGCTCTCTTCCATGTACTGCCTTCACAAATGCACTTGTTGGCTGTGGGTGCAGCAGCTTGTGCTCTTATTGTTGTTGTAAGACTTCTGAATTCTTCTAGACATGAACTTTAAGACAGGTTCTTTGTTGTCTTTATCCTCCCCTAAATCTGTACTGGCAGAGTAGTATAAAGCAGAGGCTGGCAAAGTGGTTAGGTTGTCTTTTAATAGAATCCTGTAGAAATTATGGAGAGCGATTATATGTTTCTTATATCCAAAACTGACTCCCGGTGTAACTAAGGAACTAGTGCAGCGCTCTGTTGCTGTTCGCTGAGTTGTTAGTCTTGGCTGCCTGAATGCTAAGCAGCTCTTGGGAATCTTTCCTTTACATTGGAGCCACATTTGTTGTTGGCTGCGAATGGAAAGGTTGCAGAAATGTCATATTCTGAAGATATGACTGAAGCCTGGGCCTTTCTTTTCTTCATATGTCTGTTCTCTGTTATTTTGTTACTGGCATATAAAAAGCCTACACACAGAAGTGACATTTAAAGAACATGAAATAAAGCACTTAAGGGCTAGGGAACACCAAGATAAAGCTTGTCTGTGTGCTGTCAGTTTGCCCATTTTTTTCTACATATAGGTTTATGAAATCCCTAAATAAAGGGAGAGTAATGAACAGGCAGGTTAGCGCGTTCTGTGCGAAGATGACAAATGTTATCTTGGCATCCTAATCCTGTCAGTATTCATTAATGGCGCTTTTAAGTAGGAACTCATTGAGACACTTTACGCTCTCCCCACAATAATTGTAGACAGTACAGGCAAAGCTGATTACCTCGGCTATCTGAAGTATTGACAGATCTCATACAGTAGCCCCTGTTTATTTTTTCTGTTCTGTTTTGGGTTTTTGGGGTGTGGGGACAGAGGGTTGGTTGGTTGGGGTTTTTTTGGACCACTGTAGCTGCAGTGGACCAAATTGCCATTCAGCTATTTCATTAGTTCATCTCAGTCATTTTCTCCTTTAGTGGCTGTATGATCGTGTACTTTGAGAGCATGTCATACACTTGTCAGCAAATACTGATTTTCAAGTTGGTCTTTAAAAAACAGTCTTCGTGAATTCCTGCAGCTGTGTAGGCAGAGGTGTTTCTCCTAAATAAGCTGTGCCTCCTTTTACTTTCCTTCTGTGACAAAATGGAAAGTTAACTAGTCCTAACATCTCCCAGAAAAAAAACCTTTCAGACCCCACATTGCCTGCCACTCCATTATCACACCGACATTAACTTGCTGTTCTTTGTAAACTTGTGGGAAAGACTGTTGTCATCAAGCATCAAGTCTGTTTAACCTACTCCTCTGGGTCTCTGTTTGTGAATGGGTCTCTACCAGTGTTACTTCACCTTGTTGGAGCAAAATTAAAACAAACTCCATTAAGCATATTTATATTATTAAGATACATTAAAACTTCATCTCTGCTGCCATCTTGTTTCTTTTTTGTCCATAACACTGTGCACGGAATTGCTGTAGTGGTAGATCCATGGGCAGTGGATCTGATCTGGTTTTATATTTAACTCTTGAGATGTATATATTGTTTGGGTTTTCTATTTACTGTTGGTTTAGCACACTAGATATGGAAAGCCTGAAATATTTGTGAAACCTTAATTAATGTGTTCATTTGCTATTTTTAGATGTGGTCTTGGCAGCTATTATGGAACCATAGGAGGTTCGTGTGCATATTTCAGTCCACAACTGAAAGCCAAAGAAAGATACATTCCTCCTGGGAAGAATTTTTATACTAATCCAGGAAAGAAAGGGACTGGATATGGGTAAATTCACAATATTGCTTCTTGCAGAGTACTTTATTAAATGTTTCTTGAGTTTTGAACACCTAAGTAATTAATTTTGTTTTTACAGTTATGCAAACCTTACCATAGGTGAACAATATCCACATGAACCTGATGGGTATGAAGTAGAAAGAATAAATGCAAAGGTAAAAATATTTGTCTTTATTATGTATTAGTGTTATGATTATTTATTACAATTTACATGAACTTTTTGTTCCCTGCAGTGTTTCGTTAGCTTGAAATCACTAATGTTTATTTACAAAGTGGAGGAAGGAAAACAAATTAATGACCATCCTTTATAAAAAAGATTTAGGTGTTGTTTATTGTTTTTTCTTTGAGATGTCTGGCAGTTTCCCACACAAATTCTACCATTTGGGATTTGACCTTAATTTTTTTATTTGGAGACCATAAGCTACAATGCAATGATGACCAAACAATGCCAACAGCAAGAACAATAATACTTCTATGTTGTTGTCAGAAGAATGGGACCTCATTATCCTAGATGCTATATAAAAAAACCTGTTCCTTTTTTCATGTAAGTTCATAAATCTAAGAAAACTCATAAATTTGCTTGCACTGATTTTAGTTATCCTGTATATTTTCATCACATGTACTGAAAAAAGGTAGCAGGAGGACATTTTTTGGTCTAGGGTAAGAAGGAGATTAGAAGAAACAATTCTGCTACCTGCAGTTAAGACCAATTCAGAGTCAAAAGTAAGCATCCAGTGCAGAAAATGGGAAGAACAGAAAAGAGGGAGGCGGGATTGTTTCCACTAGATAGAAAAAAAGGAATTTGCTCTGAGACATTAGCATGAATTACCAGGTGATACTGTATTACTGATGGTACATTTTATGCTTGTCTTTTAATTGTTTGTAATGTTTTCACCTATTTTATTTTAAAACGGAATCTGGGAAGAAAAGTAAACATCTCCCATGGTACAAAGAACCAATTCCTGGAGAAGCTCAGCTTAGTAAATGTGCTCAGAATCTGGGAAATGTAGTGGCCAGGGTTCACAAGTGTGAACAGCTGAGATGCATGGAGGCAGAATTTTCAAGCATGTATGTATGCATGTATGCCCAAGATACAGGTATACAATACTGTTAGACACATCTTAAATGCACAGTGCTTTTCCTGACATTTTCCTACCATACTTTCATAGTGATCGTTGTACTTCCTGGTCAGTGAATCTATGTTCCATTATACATGGTGGGTATATAAAATACCTCAATCATCAAACAAGAGCAAAGAAAGAGTGAACATTCTCCAAGACTGAATTTAAATGCTTTCCATTTTTCTCTTAGAATAACATACAGTAAAAATCCTCAGGATTGTTTCTTTCAAAATATTTGTTTTACAGAAAGTGCAAGAGGAACATAAACGGTTGGTTAAAGGAGGGCCTTTCAAGTTAAATCTATATCCCCAGGAGTATTTTGATGTGAATCCCTATTTTAATGACAAACCTTTGCCACCTGTGAAGAAACCACCTCCAGAGAAGCCAGTTGCACCACCTTTCAAACCAAGTTCTCCTGCTAAAAAGGTTAGTTTGTCTATAGCTACTGGAGTCAAAAGACAAATATTCAGATATTTCCTGTTAAAAGCTTTGCTTACAGATAGAAATAAATGTTTGGTTTTGCTATTAATTTCTTATTTTTCTTACAAAAGATATTATTGCATTTACTTTGTTTTCAATTTACAAAGCAAGGAAATCTTGTTTGACCCAACAACAACTGCTAACCAGTTTCAAGTAACCTAAAAAGTGTTTCTCTTTAAAATCTGCATAGTGCTGTTAACATGCAGTTAATTGACTGCATACACCACAAAAAGATACAAAGCAGAAGGTTATGCAATAAATGACAGTAAGACTAGGTTACGGTAGCAAAATTAAATGCTCTCCTATTTTGGACTCCATCAGTCACTCATATAATTTTTCAACCTGCTAATTACTCTCAGCCTATGCAGACAAACATCTAAAAGATAACTTCTACAAGTGTCATGGGAATGGATAGCTGGAAGGAGCAGAAAAACTCAGATTAGTCCCTCTGCTCTGGGAAAGGCTGCCCGGAGTTAATATGAAGGATATATAGGAACATAGTTCATTAGTTCCAGTTGCTTAGTGTCATTATTTCTTAGAATCATAGAATCATAGAATCTTTTAGGTTGGAAAAGACCTTTAAGATCATCCAGTCCAACCATTAACCTAACATTACCAAGTCCACCACTGAACCAATTAAGGGTAGAGTAGCAATTTCGTGTTTCCTGGCTTGGTGGCTGGATTATGTTTTAATGAAAGTAAAAACTAGGAATCATTAAGGTTGGGAAGGATCTCTAAGATCATCAGTCCAACCATCAGCCCAACACCACCATGCCCACTAAACCATGTCCCAAAGTGCCATGTCTAGCCATTTTTTGAACACTTCCAGGGATGGTGACCCCCAGAGAGGGGCAGCCTGTTCCAATGCTTGACAACCCTTTCCGTGAAG